CACACACACACACACACACACACACACACACACACAAACGCGCACATCAATGAGAATGAGATGTGGAAACAAGTACTTACCAGGCCCGCTTCGATCTGTGCTGTTAACAAACGGTGGCAGCTGGACGTTTTCGAAACCTAAGAATAAAAGAAGAGGGTGAGGGTGAACGTGACTTATGGACGTGACTGTAGATTTACAGTGAAGAAAATGCCAATAACATCCAAGTTTGTAAGAATGAAGACAAATTTTCTTAAGTTTGTGATACGCCAATAGTAGGAAGGAGGTGATGATGTATACTGTAATTCCACAAGTAACAGATAGCTGTATTTTTAATATGTGTGCTGCGATGGAAACTAAATTTCCATTGACCAATGCACAAATAATTGGGCCAATAAAGCCATTCTCTTGAACAATGGTTAGGAAACGTCATAACAACCAAGTATAATTCAAATAACCTAATAGTGTTGATAAACCCATACCATTTTCACCAGGTATAATTTATTGACGACAAAGCGCGACAGCCGCCTTGCCGATTTTTGGTCGAAACTTGTACCCTGGTATCTCATAAGGGGAACACTTTTTGCTCGCCAAAACGCGATATTTCCTCTTTAAATAACTTAAGTTTTCACAAAATGTGACAAAAGCCGTCAATCGTTTTTATTGCTTGATGTTTTTTGGTATTTTGGATTTTTAAATTATTTTGGGGCAAACCACTACATTTTTGCACGTTAATCAAGTTATTCCTCCGAGTCACGTTACTTCGACTGTCGTAGCGGTTCTTTCCGGTCCTAATCATTACAAGTCAATATTTTATCGTCAATGTTTCTTAAAAGTTGACGCGATATGTTGAATTTAAAACGTACTGATACCGTAATATTCTTTTTTTAGGCTGAACAAAAATTCAGAAGCAGCTATTCAGACAAATATACAGACTGTGAGAAAATTAAATTGTCGTATTAACTTGCTAATACAGAATTTCACAAAAATCATTCTGGATCTATCTGTGTTCTTATAATTTTGACCGAAATTTCAGTAATACTGGTATCAATCGTTTCAAATCAGGCCCAAAGGCTGATAAAAAATGTCAGTATTTCATTATTAATCCCTGTCCATTTGTAATAAAGGCAATGTGGATATGCCTAGTTTGATCACAAAAATATATGGAGATCTCATCTGCATAAAGGATGGAATTCCAATATCGATTTCATTATCCAACAAATATAATCTGAGCTTTACTTCTTTTTACGTCAAAAAAGTTGCTCAAGTTTTGTTGTGAAGGTTTTTTTTTCAGTACATCGGTGAAGACTTCAGTGTTCTCAAAAACGTAAAAATGGATACGCTTCGTTTTGTCCGGAAACTGTTCGTTTATAGACATATCCACTCTTACATTCCCACACACACGCAAACAAACACAAGTCACAGACATACAAACACACAAACACATGCAGATACAAATATACAAATACGCACACACACACACACACACACACACACACACACACACACACACACACACACTCACACACACTCACTTTCATACACAATCTCATCGTTTTGTATCAGCACATAATCCCCTTTTCAAGCTACCTTTACAAACAAACATTTTTAAATGATATTTTTTATACCGTAAATATTTTGAGAGCTTTCGGTTTGCATTTATTGGCTTAGGTCTAGAAACCCATCGCCCACATTTTAATTGTAGAATAAAACGTCGGCCACCTGTTGATATGTACTGAGCCCAACATTTTTAATTTATTATTCTTCGTTATTGCAGTTTAATCTATGGTATTAGTTGCATGTGCTCAAGAAATGTTTTGTTGAAATTCAGATTCCAAATGTTGAAAAAGCAAGACAAAATACTTAACTTAGGTACGGTTATGTTAAAGAATGAAACATTTTTTTCTATCTTCTGCAAAATTTTACCTCCTGGGCTTAATACATTTTTACAGCTTTCCTACGAAAATACGTTGCTGATTCGTGATAGAGCGTGTGTCTTTGCCTTATGTAGGTCCAGATACTGACGACAAAGATATCGTTAAAAAATATGTGTTTCGCGTCTGAGGAAGAGACACGCATTATGAGATTAAATGTTTTTCACACGTATGTGAAAAAACAATTCTGTGGCTTGTAATGTTTTAAAAATGGACCTTCGCTTTTGTCTATGGAGCCGTTAAGCTTTGGGTGAAATCTCACATCCCTGTTTATGTTTGCCTTATAGTCTATTGTTTTCTATAATAACCTTTTATTTTTACGAGTCTTAGCTTCCGTTCCTTGGTTGTGGAGATTGTTTGTGTTAAAACATGCCCTTTCAGAGCTTGATCCCGGCTTGAGGTTTTTATGCTGGTCCCTTGTTTTGTTAGGTGCTTTTGAGCTCTGTCTGCCGGCCCTCTTCTCCCCGTCTCTGCCACTGTTTCTGCCTCTGTTTTTCTCACCCACCCCCCTCTCTGTCTGTCTGTCTGTCTGTCTGTCTGTCTGTCTGTCTGTCTGTCTGTCTGTCT